TCCAACCAACCTGGTATTCACGGAGGCCATTTGTCAACTCTTGCACAAGATGAACCCCTTCGGCACCTTAGGGCCAGATGGGATCCATCCAGGGACCCTGATGAAAACGTTGCCCACATTGGCAAAGCATTCATATCCTGTGGTTTGTCAGTCACCCAACGAAGACAACCTTCTCTCTTGGAAGTTAGCGATTGTCACTCTAATCCCCAATGATGTTGACTGACGATCGCCCGTCAGCTACAGGACTATTAGCCTTTCTAGCTTGTCCTGAAAGGAGTTGAACGCATATCAGATCACCTGACTATCAACAAGTTGATATCGCCACGCAACACGGATCCCCCAAATAGTTCTTGCGTGTTGAGCTTGCTCGTACCCAACCTGAGGATGAATGACTTATATTGGATGCCATGTCTTTCCTTTTCTCAAAGGCATCAGTCAGATCAGTCCCACATATCACGCTGCTGTACAAACCTAAGTTTTGTGTGATTACGCGAACACCTTTCTCGTGCCTGGTGAGAATGGACCAGAAGACATTACGAGGATAGATACCAAAAGAACTTTAGTGTCTGGCTCTTCAAATGTGTCCTCCTCACTGCCCCATGAAACCTCCGCTGTAAAAGCATTATCCGTTCTACGGATGACTTGGCGCACCTTCGCCCGCATTGCTCGCATGAACTTACATACACTCAATCGGGCCCACATCAGACCGCTTCTTGAATACGCCAACCAAGCTGTCCACTCAGAAAGTCAGGGAGACGTTACCATCCTTGAGCGTGTCCAATGAGCTGCTACAAAAATTGCTGCCGGGTAGTTGGTACGTTGAATAACTTTCCTCCGACGGTTGTCCACGCATTACCTAGTATCCAGTTGAGCTCACTTTCAGTCGGTTGGAGGCGTTTGTGTAAATTTCTCGGGCCATGTTTGTTCAGCGGCACTAGTTCACCTGAAGGTCATAAGGGAAAATTTGTGTAGCATCGCTCACATGCTCCGCTTTGTCCAACAGGCTTACTAGTGCAACTAATCATAAAAGCGTCAGAGTAAGCGGAATCGGGCTGCTGATGAAGCGTGGGTGACTATCGTAGACAGTTTATTCCGTGCACTCATCACCCGGAATGAGAAAACCTGTCTAACAAGAGTTCGCGCTATAATCTTACCGCGTCCTTGCCCGGTAACATTGGAATAAAGGGTAAAATATGCGTGGGCGAAACGTTGATAAACGAAGACTTCAGTATCAGGTCTTTTCGAAGGTGATACTGTTGAATGTAATCAAGGATTTGTACTCGCCTAGGACCTTCCTATCAGCTCCCTGGACACTCCCAACGAGGGTCACGTGCCTCTTGTCTCCTGAGCAGGCATCTTTGCTAGCATACTCAAGAATCGGTTAGTCAGTGGCATGAATTGTCATTGATTTTCTCAAGATAAACTGAGAAAGATTTGCTTGAAGGGAGCCAAACACGAGTATCACTCTGGCTAGCTTCGCAACATTTAGTCCATTCTTCTCAAAGGCGTTTGCCATCCAAATGACATCTGTACACATTTTCCGTCCTTCACACGAAGTACCAATTTAGTGACCACTGCTTTGAGGGTCTGGCATCCGTCTGACACCTCAAGAGTTCAGGTCTTCCGCAGAAAGTTAACATAGTCGATGTTAACGGGAGCCTTGAGGAACTCCAGTAGAAAGTAAGCAAGTGTCCTAGTGCCTCAACCGCTGAGCTATCTCAAGCTCAGAAGAAGGGTAAGTTGATCCAACTTTTACTCGGAACGTTCTCTTTGAAAGGAAACCTTCCAAACCAGGGTAGAATTTCTCCATTAATCCCATAGTCTTGGAATATGTGAAGCGATGAACATGTGAACCTCAGTCGAAAAGTATGTCTTCTGAAATGAGTCCCTCGATCTTCGCTAGTGTATGACTGTCCATGAACAAGAACATGTTAGTAGGCACACAAGAAATTTTGCGGGGGGGGGATCCGTTTCGCTCCGGGGATTCAGGGTAGCCTGCTTTAGAATTCATTCCATCACATTTCACGATATGCTAGCTTGGCTAATAGACCTGTAGATGCCGGACGATAACCATTCATCAGTTTTGCAGCTTGGCGTATGGATTAACGCCTCTCAAGCGTCAAGCGACGAATGAAAGTACTGGAAAAGTTTAGCCACATTCTTCTGTTGTTGTGTGCTTGCTGCGGTTGTCCCAACGTGAGCGCCACTGGCGTCAGTTGGGCACAAACTGCAATCTAGTTACTATGACTTCAATTACTATGTCAAACGGTTGACCGTGACCACCGGCTTATCATTTAGTACGATTGAAATGCCTTTAAAACTAGAGTGGTGCCGCTCAATAGCACCTGCTGTGCACATCCGCATTGGGAGTGAGAAGACAACGAAAGATTCTTCCGCTTGATGAATCAGCATACAACCCAGCGTATCTAGGTGCCTTAGACTCCACATCACCAAAGTTCCGCTGCTGGAAGTGAGCTAGTTTAATGACGTTACTTGCCTAGATCAATCAGACGTAGCGTGCACCAACACAGGTAAAACACCGTACGAGCGAGAACAGCTTTCTATCTTGCTTGCTTCAGAGTTTAAATATGAGAGGGTTTTTGGGTTTTGAAATTGAGTCCGGGGTACTTTAGCTTGTTACTCTAAGTGGTCGGGCAGGACTTGCCACACAGGACGATGCAGGACGAATGAAATTATCAGCTTTAGTACCGGGATCTTATAGGACACTGCTCACAATAGGAAGGGGTGTGGAGAACGAAAGGGTATATACAAGTGCAGTGATCCATTGGCATGTGTTTGCTCACCAGCTCTGCCATATGCTACTGGTAAGAGGACTTAGCTAGTGGCCTGACGCAACTGCCTACGTGGTCTAGCAGTGTTTTTAGTTGTGAATTTTACGGCTGCACGTGGAACGGGATACCGTCCAATGCAAGGGCCATTAGGGCCGTTGACTTAGCCTCACAGTAGGCAGCAGGCAGATTGGGCATTTTTCACAGTACTGTTATGTTCTCTAGATGTGTATCAATCGGACTTTTCAGTTACACTGGAATCGATAAGACGGACGATTTTGCGGAAGTTGTATTGGAAACGACTGATCTGTTCCCTGGTGTGGACTCAAATGAACCAGAATGAAAAGGAGCGAACAGTCCAGTAGGATGTCGATGAGAGGCTCAAACGGAGAAAAGCTTTCATTCTGCTGGATAGATTGTTAACAAAAAGATTTTTTCATTTGCAGGCACTCTTCCCAACAAGTTATACATGTTTTTAAGGAACAAGTTGCCTTACATGTCCCAAACCCCAAAGTGGGGCCCAGGAGACTGTTCAGACGTTTATCCATTGACCCTTACATGAGAAAAAACTCGGCGTCAAAGCAACCACCAAGTATAGCACACATGAGCATAACGCCACACTAGGATAAGGTTCACTCTTTTCGCCGTGGGCTAAGCTAGCGTTACCAAAAGAGCCAAATGGGGGTTCATCAACAGATGCTGCATGTCAGCCGTTCACTTGGGGATATTTCAGTAGGATGGGAGGGTTTCCAGAATACCAACCACCGACCATGCTGAAGCATTTAGGAGCTCTTCCTAAAGAGTAGGAACTCGTGGGATTCCATGAGGATTGGTACTTTACCTCTTATTATTCATCACATACGTTAATCATCTAGAGATCACCCCGTCGAAAATGAATAAGGTTCGCCGATTATTTGGAACAACGAAGACAAATCGAAGAGAAGAAAAGATACATCTGCGCAAGCTCTGGCGTACGATTCCGAAGAAGCTTCAAAGAGTCACTATCCAAATAGTAAGAAGCGTTTTAGGTGATTGAGAAAGAGGAGATAGTGCTTGACGTTTCTCATGGTGACTTGTTGAGGATGAACACAAGGGGCTTCGGGGATAAGTGAGTCAGAGAAATCCTAGCAAGTTAGGTTTCAGACGTAGTCCAGAAATAATGAATGAGCCGAACTGTCGTTGTGGTTCAAACGTCGGATGTTTCTCGAGTATTTTCCTTTATGTTGAATCGAGCGATCTTGTGATCGATAGTCCTACAATCACTCACAGTTTGCTTACAATCCATGGCGGTGATTTGAAGGGCACTCGGCTCAACATTCATCGAACGGCTCTCAACATAAGTGGTTCAACACTGCGTTAAGCCATCCAATGTCTGTTTGCTTTTACTTGGCTTTTTATTTCGCCACCGTGTAAGCGGGTAGAAGCAAATCCAATTCGTGTGTTAGAGATGACCAGTAGAGCTTAATTTAGCTAGATAAACGTCAACTATAATGCAGGTAATTCCGCTGTTTTCTGCTGTTGATAGGATGCACCGTGGTGGACATTACGGAAATTTCCCGGCTTCTGTCTGAGGGTACGCTGTTCTAACTACCGTTTTGTCATTAAATTCTGCATAAATAAAAATAACTAAATCATTTAGCTATAGAACCCTTTTGGTGCCTAGCTGCCATGCCACAGAAGGAAGTACGGAAATTTCCCGGCTTCTGTCTGAGGGTACGCTGTTCTAACTACCGTTTTGTCATTAAATTCTGTATAAATAAAAATAGATAAATCATTTAGCTATAGAACCCTTTTGGTGCCTAGCTGCCATGCCACCAGAAGGAAGCACGAGGACTGGGATACTGCCAGGTTGCCCAAGCCTGGACAGGGGCAATTGAGTGACAGATGTCGAGTTTAAACCACGGACGATTCAGTCTGAATGAACATTCTGACCACTGAGCAAAATTCCGCGTAACCGGCACAAAGCGAGGCACAGTGGAAGAGAAGGCAACCCTTGCTTAAGGAATGGTTATTTACTGTGCTTTGCTTCTCGTCGCTTCAGCCAGGTCGTGTGGTATTGATTTCATATTCTTCCTACTGATTTTTAAAAATCTTTTTTTGTGCTTGGGAGGGAATAATCACCAACAGCAAATAATCATCAGCAAAACCAGAGGATGCTCACTGCCGTATAACCTTTTCGATTTGTTTGGACAAGGCTTTATAATGGGGAAAATGGCACAGCGAGGGGGAACCAGGGATAGCCTACCGCATACATTCAAGGTGCGCTCACAAACGATGGGAATAAAGCACACACACTGATTGCTAGTGTGTTGTTCCCGTACTTGAGTTGATGACCTACCTGCTTTCCCTTATTTATCTGACTAACCACGTAGACAACGACTCAGCCCCTTATTTTGTACAAGTCACATCATCCCAAGACCAGTCTGTACTATTGTTTGTTCAACCAACTGTCCGTTTTTCTGCTCTATGTTTTACAGCAGATTGACCAAGTGCTGATTTTCAAGGTTGCGATTTTACTTACACCTCAATATTGATTGAAATCACTTCTGGGACACAATCTCTCGTGGTTTTATTTTATGAAATAATTACGGTACGGTCCCAATCAAACAACGTCCCAAAAACTGCAGCTCGTGGATCCGGAGTGTCCGTAACTCCTAATGGTTTGTCTTCTCTGTTTTCTCCGTTCTATGTTCTGTCGTTGTATGCTAGTATTAAGCTATACGATATCATTCACCCCTAGTTGACTGCTCGACGAATACCACATAGAGTCAGCAATGCTGATCTTCGTATGAATATTATTGGAATCATACATGTAGTCCGTCACCTTCAAGCAACCAGTATATCATAGATCCGTTATGAAGTGTTGAAAACAACTTATTTTCACCATTCCCAAAGCTTGCACTGCTATTGCCCTTACCTTCAAATCATCCAGTGGAGATTTCAGTTGTGAAACGCCTTTTGAATAAACGATGTAGGGCAGCAGTCGACCTCTTAAAAACAATATATTCCCCCTTAGTGAGCTCTTACCAGGTGGCGTGTTACCCATGAATAAATTCAAGTCCATTTTAAAAAGTCAGATTCATTCTCAATGAATACTGATGGCTTCATACTTACACATTAGGGAGAGACGATACGTCTTACAGCCGACCTCCAACCGATGGTATCAGCTGAGTTTTCTCGTAATAGTAATAACAATAATAATCGTTCAGCTGTAACAATCTAGCTACCACCGCGACTGAAGGAACCACGAAAGCTGGGATTCTGCAAAGCTACCCAAGCCTTCCAGAAGTTGAGTCCAAACCATGGATTTCCCTCAACTACCGAGCTATCTCGAGCTCGTTAGGCCTTTTGAGAGTACCAAAACATTTAAGGAATGTGATCCACTTAAGCTTTGAGATCTGTCTAATTGTCAGCTGGTATCTACTGGCATCGCGGAGCAACGGTCGGGGCAGCTCTGATTCTCTGTGTATGATGATCTCTGAAGTGGTATTGACTGGTGTTTTTTTTTGTCACACACTCAACCGTTCTGTTCACTTCCAACTTTTGTACCCATCACAGTACGATCCTTATGGTACCGATCTGAAACAATGGAAAAATGTTTATATTACTCACATTGTAAATTCAAACGAATATCCTGGGGTCGGCCTCAAAGGGACGCTTTTCTTGACCGAACATGTAAGTTTTTAGATTACAGAATAATCAAGATCTCACCTTTTTCAGGAGACAAAGGTTCTGATTCATTGGGTTCCCGATCCGGATCAAGGTTTGCTTTGTTTGTATCCCCATTTGATATTTTTATGGTAACTCAGATGATTCTGTTCCGCCGGATTTGAAAAAAGGTTATGAGATTGATGTGCAGGACTTGAAACAGCTCATGTGCCGCAGGTTACCTGGTTTCAGATATCGAGCCTTGTATCTATTTATGAAAGATACAAGTCGTTACGGGCCGTTCGAATTTCGAACCGGTGGTGCGACAGAATTTATTGGCACCTTGGATCACCTAACTGAACTCACAAGGTATTTACCCTTTTCTGTTGACAGTTTTCAAATGGTTTCGAAGTGTTTTCATGCATTTTTGATTATCTTATAATCTCGCAAATGGCTGTGGTCTCCCTCCCTTGAGTCTTCCTTTCGCACTCCCACATCTAAAGCATTACTTGGATTTGAATTCGATATGCAGACGACTGGGAACTAGTGCCTCAGTATTTATCGTATATGAGGGATTCTGGTCGGCGTTTAACACTTGCTAAATGGTGACTTGATAAGTGGTACATAAGCCTAATATCATGCTATACGAAGGCTGCTTGCATGGATGCTACTGACCCGTCTGACTGCCAAGTGGATTGGCGCAGGCACCTCCCAGGAGAATTGTGGATTCCATGGCGGTTGTAGCACGATACTTACTGCGCAACAGCTTCAAGAAAGGTCCCACAAAGACCAATCAGTCGCTTCATATCCTCTTCATAGATTTCACGAACACATTCCACTCCTTCAACTGAAAGATATTGCGGACAGTTCTTTTCAAATACGACAGTATACCAAACTCAGTCAACCTCATCTTAAGTCAGACACGACGGAAGGAGAGTGAGGGTGCAAAGGAATGAGTCAAAATCTTAACTGTCTTAAAACAGTTATGCATCCTTGTTCCCTCTCTTCGACCTTCACATAACGGCCATCATGGGTACGGCTTTCGTGAATGAAGACGGTGGCCTATAGTTCGAGTGTCGGTTGTGCTATATTAGGCGCTGTGGTTCGAGGGGTGTAGTCAAGTGGTCATGATCATCCTAATCGACAGCACAGCATCAGTGTTCGACACTGATGAGTGAGTATCTCTGTTGGACACCAGAGTAAGGTCCATATTCTCATGTTTGCAGACGGCTATGTATTGTTCGCTCTTGCAGTTCAGTTCAGTTTATTAGCTATAAACAATGTAACAAGGGTATATTGGTCTCAGTCGCTACAGTGGGAGATACGGTCAAGTATTGGATGCATCGGGGACTGGGTAGCTACACATTGAAAGCGGTAGCTCTGATGCACGAATTCGCTCATCACTTGGAAACCGGCAGCACCTGGCTGAGAAGTTTGCGATGGCTGCTCCTCAGCTTGGCCTGAAACGTTCTACGCCAACATGCACTAGGTGGAGTCTCCAACACCAACCCGCGCATCAAGACTGGATAAGGGTTTGTAAACTACTGCGCAAGCGTCTGCTACCTCGGAAGCACACTGTCTGCTTCGACCATGAACTAAGATCGCTTGTTGAAGATGCTAGTATTGACTTTGCAGGAGTCGAGAAACTCTTGTGGAGGAACCGGAGGCTGAAGATGCACGGCTCTCGTACAGCAGTGGAATACGGACCACGTGCCGGCGCCAAATTCGACGCTTGAGCAGCCTTCACATGTATTGCCTGAGCGGATACTTGATGTTCACTCAACGGACACGGAAGTCGTCCGACTGGCGCTTTAGGGTGAAAATGAATACCAAGTTTACATCCAATCATCACGGTGATTGTGACTGTTTTCCGAATGGATTTGAATAGAAATCCGGACTAGTGGCCAGCTGAGTACAGAGAAACGGGACCATGATGAAAAAAGGCTTTGGCATCTGCATACATCAGTCGAAAGTCTAAAATTTGCTGGCATGCACCTCGTGGAGTGAGAAACGGAAGCACAAACATGATTGAGTGGAGGGAAACAATACGAAATGTGGCTCGTCTGTTCAGCCATCGTTAACCTCCAGCCAGAGGCAAACTTCTCCGAAAACGAGGACAGGGCATTACTCAGCTCCCCGTCGCGGAGTTCACGTCACATTGTCATACTGTCTACGAACTGTGACTTCTCGGTGAGTGGCGCGGTGTTTAGGTTTTGAAAGATTTGTTCCGCCCACTGGGCATTACTCATATGGTAGATGTGTTGCATACATATCGAATGAAATAATTCACATCATTTATTCGCTGACTTGACGTGTGGCTTCGACGTACCTGTGACCACAGGTGCATCTTACCGCTATTCCTTCTGTCTATTTGTATAGAAAGCCACCGGACGTGTTAGAGCCAGTAACGAGACGCACGATTCATCTCTGAGAAGAGCAGCGGAAACTGAATGGCTTCATACCAACTCAGTAGGTATCTTAACGACTACAAGCATCAGAAGGGACGAACTGTTTGCAAGCAATGTTCCTGTCTTCTGTTTACTCAGCTCATCTAGGCTGTTGTTGCAGAGGTGCTACCTGATGGGTTTGAGAAGTCTCAGGTACATGCCTGATTTGTTCAATTTAGGCTCCTGCAGGTAGTGTGCTGAATGGCAATTCTGTTCGTAAGGCAGGTTAAAAGTTGGCTGACTTTGTTGTTGGGATGTACTTTTGTTTCGCGTGGCACGAGTGGGCCGAGTGCTATGCTAAGAACTGAATCCTTCGTCATATAGGCTATAAATTCACATTCTTCATTGTGCTGCTTTCTGACGCTTATCCTATTTGTCTTTTGTTAGATCTGACAATGACAAGACAATGTATTACATCAAACCCCGTACTGTGCCCACCTTTAACTCGGTTTATCAGCTCCCTACAGGGTAAGTCGATATTCCACCTATCGATTATGGATGGTATGATGCCCCTGTTTCGAGCGCTTTTGCAGTCTGACTTGAAGCAACTCGACGTGCAAATAAGTCACACACATAAGGCACAACCTCGTAGCGAAGCTGTGAGGATTTGAGTCTTCGATGCATTTCTGTCTTTGTGTGACACACCAGTTTGACCTGTGTTAGTGTCTTTCGAAACTGCTTATCACCAAGAGCTGGAATTCACCCCTAGCAGCGTTGCGCACTATCGCTGCTATTATCGGTTTTTCGCTTCCTTGATTCCTGTCTGCTTATCCCACTTACCACCAGAAATATTTGCCGGAACAGCTCTCAAATGAAGCCACGTTTTATAAAGACCCTGAACGTTATTTTGTTCCACGAATAACCCAATTTCCATATGTGTACCAGTCATTTAACTGCTCGACGCTTTCTCCGATGATAGCATCTGTGCTAAAACGCTTCTGAGACTGAAAATTTCACGTATTTGTCTGAAATTCCGGCCATTAACTTTTCGCAGCAGTTCGCATTGCTTTTATTTGTAATATGGATCCTGCTTTCGGAATTTTTTAGACGTGCTCTTGAAAAAACCAAGACTTTGGCTTTGATATTTTTGGGTGTGCTATTTCTGTTGCTTAAGTTTCTCCTCTATCAGAATTACGGCACCTGGATCATACTGACCCCAAACCTGGACGACCGTAAGCTCAGCTTTTTGTCCCTTCTCTGTTGACGCGAGCACTGAATTTCTCTAATGTGATGAGAAATCGCTTCCAGCTTCTTTGGTGGCGCGGCGTCTGAAGTGAAAATGAAAGCACACCCAAACGTGTGGGGTCTTGATGGCCAGTGACCCGAACTTATGCGAATGTGAACAGACATGTGCTACCATTATCCTTGTCACTTCGAGTGTACTTGGCTGGCGTTACCGGCCAAGCACTTGAGACACCGTAGTGCGAGAATGTTGGATTTGCTGTTGGGAATCTAAATCGACAGGTTACATTTACATGGTACTAACTTTTTGGGAATCAATCCTTAATTTTCTGTTTCGTCGTTTACATCGAGATTATACCACTGTTTCCAATAATGGAATGATCTAACTTTTCTGAATAGTACAGACCGATTGTCATACTTTGGTGAAAAAAGTGCCTCATTCAGGTCTTGTTTCACGTAGCTTGCTATTCAGAAGTTCAACTTGTACGTTGTAAAAGTTGTAAAAGTGACTGGGCTCATTCTGGTACAGTCACTGTTTTTGCACATGCTTCTCTGTTGGATTGCAGCTCTGGACAAACGAGACCACTGTTCAGTGCATCTGCTGTTTCAGTTGGAGCTTCACTACGAATGTTGGGCAAAAAAGTTTCGGGACCGATGAACACAGTGCTAGAAACCATTCTCACACCATCAGGTGTGATTACGGGCGAACCGGTGGGAGTAAACGGAACAGGTTATGCGAATCCCTATCTGGGCCAGGTGCGTGGTACACCACATGCAGATCGCCTCCGAACAACCGACGACAATGATTTCGCAGTAGTTGATGTGGTAAGGTTACCAGTTTCTTGTGCGTCCCAGTTTCGTCACCAGCATCTGTTGTCACTATCTATTATTTTAACTTTTCACTGCATTTTGCTGAACCTAATACCAACTGATGTGTCCATCACTAGAGCTCTAGATGACCCAGTGGTGTGGACTTGAGTCTTATGACCGAATGGTACGTGGTTTGACTGCTTCCGTCTAGGCTTGAGCAACGTGGCAGTATCTTAGCCACGTTCCGACATACCATCACATTGATGAACACTGCAGATCACTGTGTTAAATTCCATAATATACAAGTATTATGCATGTCAGAATGGAATCAGTAACCTTTCAATGCGTCCGAATGAGTTTTTTAAAACTGCAACGCTTCAGTACTTCAGAGAAACACAATGCTAGCATATGGAACTCGACCACCAAATTGGTGGTTGTGCCAACAGTGACTGTGTTCGACTTACCTTTTCCATATGGGTGTCCCTAAGTATCGGGATTTGTTGAACTGCAATATCTCACGGTTATTCGAGTGGAGTTTTATTCAGTAGTTTGTTTTTTTTTTACTTTGTCTGTCGCTCCTTAGTGTCTCGATGAGTGTGTGGATGTGTTCACACAACAGAATGACTGCGTTAGGCTGGCACTAAGTACCTTTCTCATTCACTTCTATTTTTGCTGTGAGGCTTTCAACTAAAGGATGGTTGTACGGCAGCGAAGCATCATTGTTTGAACATTGGCGTTGCACTGTCGATGATGATGATGATGATGATGAGTGCTTTTATTTAGATCTTGGTATTGGCGCAGCAAACGGGACACGAACACTGGAAAAAATATACAGATGTATAAAAAAGCAGACTTTCCAATGTTCTTCTGATTCGTACCAGGTTATTGCCAGTACAAATGAGGCTGAAGATTGGTTAGCATCCGTTTTCAATGCGACTATTTTTAGGACGCCATTTTTTCACATTTTAATCATCTTAAACATCCATGTACAAAACTACCTTGGTGCGAGCAGGGGCGAAAATCCATGAGCAATCCTCTTTCCCACTATCTTCCTGACTCTGAGTATGCCACCCATTCGGTTGATGTATAATTTTACCCGTCTTGTACAAACTTCCTTGCAGCGTCCTAGTCCTATCAAACTCCCGGCACTCCCAGAAGTTCATCGCAGTGACCCACTAAACTTCGAAAGATGGAAACGACACTTGGATCCTTATGGACGCGTGACATGCGTGGAGAAGCTCCGGAAAATCATATTTGAAGGAGTGGGTTACATCGGTCCTGACTTGTTATCTCTTATCCATATCCGCTATTTGAACCTTGTTTAGTTTTTCGAAGGGTGGTCGATTGAGTAAAAGCCAACGTAATGACCACTTTCTTTGGATATACCTCGTATTTCTAAGTAACTTGAGGGTCACCTAGAATTGTCCTCAGGATTAAGTTCCAAGAAGCACTGTCCTCTTCCGTAGATAAAACCGTTGGATGACAGGCCAGGAACAGGTCGCAAGTTTCAGTCGATTTGTGAAGCTTTACGGATGAAAACTCGTGTTGTACCCTGTGATAAGAACGTAGATGTGCTATTTGTTCTCTTCGAGTACCCAGGCTATTCAACTAAACGGGAGTATCAATGCTGTTTTTTAGAGCCATGAGATGGGTAAGGATGGCTTCTAATACGACAAGCTCCATGGTATGAATTTCTGTTGGCTTTATCGTTGCCACTTTCCATCCAGGTTGTTCATTTAAGTGTTTGGAACTATGGGCAACCACATGCACCTGATCCAAGTTAGCGCTTAATGATTCCCCTTTTCCCTTTTGAATTCTGTTGAAGACAAGGCTTTCCTGAGATAAGTGGTGGAATAAGCTGCCCTGAACTAATTTGAACGCAGTAACCCTGCTTGAATGCCATTTGTTCTTAATGATTTCAATTCATTCGTAAGAATTGGTGTTTTACCTTCCTAAAATAGTGCTATTTTTTGGTGGTGAAACATCAGTTGGCGCACTCAGCCCCTTGTCAATGATAATGTCCCAGGTGACTGCGCTACTGCACAACAGCTAATCTCAACCGCGATTGCACGAGCATCATTCAGTAGACTGGAAGAAGAAGGGAAACCCGAGTTGGTCGGGGTCACATTATTTCTTTTCGGAAATGGTGGGGACCAAGCTGTGTTTGGGTCGACAAGGCATCTGCGTTAGAATTGTAGTTCATTTGTGCGGTACCATAATCCATAGAACACAACTGATGAGTTAGCGAGCTTTTAATCCAACGTTTGGCTGACGTCTACAGCTGGGACCGTTGCTTTTCCATCTTCGTCTTCTAGTTCATAGGCTTCACAAAGCCATCCGCAGCTAATGCTTACGTGTGCACACAGAACTGGTGGTCATTCGGCCTTTTTTGAAAAGGTTGAAGGTTGGTGGATACCTCGTCTTACCAGCCTGGTGGTACCAAACCGAAGCTTAGGGGAAAAAAGCTATACAAACTGGAATTAAGTGTGCTTAGAATTAGGTATTATGAGCAAATTCCTCAAAATCTGCAGACATCTCAAGATGAGTTTCGCACTGTTGGAGTCCATGCCGAGACGTCCGACAGCGATTTGGTCTTATGTTGATTCTAGAACCAAATTAGATAGTATAAGTGCTTTGAATGAGTCCTTAGTATAGACCGTCGAGCTGATTTTTCCCAGTGGAATGTGCAACGGATTTAACCAACCTTCCCGTACTACTTATCTGAAAAGCCAAGGGGATTGTGTCTGGGGAACTTCACAAGAGCTACTATGTGATTTATATTCTGGAAAATAGTATCCAGATTATTTCTGCTACAAGGATAATCCTTCCCGGAGGTAAATTAATGGATGCCTGACCCCTATAAAAGATGAGGATTTACACACCGCTTCCAGCCAGGGGTTTCATTTCAGTGCTTTCGGGGCTTGTTACAGGATGTATTGACGTGAAAATAAGTTTCAATGCGTTATTCGTAATTAGATTTCGGCATCGCGTGATACTCGTCGTGATGGCTTGCCGACTTGGACTTCATATTGCCTTGATTACGTCATCCAAGGCCTATCAAGAGTAGTTCTTTCGGCACACCATTGCACTGTCAGTTTCTTCTAGGTTGTGGTGATGTATCACATGGTTTTCGATCAGGAGGCTTACTTTTATGCCAGCTAGTTTTGAGGTCCATCACTTTTTAGCTGCTTTTTCCTATTGTCCTTCAAGTTTTATCCATGTACAATACTTGAAACACTGCGCACCCTTTTTGCGCGGTTGGTATTTCTTCTTCATATGCACTTGACTTCAGTCTTAGTTGGTATTCACAACCGTGGCGGACATAACTTTCTATATTTTTACTAGATCTAGTGGTCACAAGGCGTGTCAAACAGTGTTGGGTCCGTGTGTCACAGAATGATGCAGTAAATCATCTGAGGCTTTGACAAGTAGCGTAAAAGAGTAAAAAGCCATGACAACAAGCTCCTCTAACCAGGTATTATCGTTTATCTTCCGGATCCCATCTCGAGAAACACGATACGCCAACTGATATGATCGTCTTCAAATCTCGGCGCCATCAGTTTCTACCGCCACTTGAGGCGAACAAACTGACAGTCACCTAGAGGACTCGACCGACCCGTTCACCACTTTCATCATTATCATTGAAAGCATAACATCGATGTTCAACACTCACGTCGCTGCCGGACAGCCATCATTTATTTGTAGCCTTTGTTGTGAAGAGAAGGATGGGAAAGGGGCGTAGTATTAGGCTACTACAGCGATTCCTTGGTATCCACACCTCTAGGTCAGTAGAAACAAGAGAACACCGCTGACGTCGATTAGCAGCCATATTTTGTAGCGTCTTCAACGAGGCATAGCGGAGATCACGCGGATCTCATCGTGGAAGGTGGGTTGCACCGATAACACAGAGGCTCTTCGTACCCGTCTGCCAGGTCAAAGGTTGACCACTCCTCTATTTACGCCACTGGGTTGGAAAACAGCAGTCCTTTCTTCACCTGATGATTCAGCGTGCGCAGCACATGGTTTAATCATCTCAACTTTTGGTGCCAAACCCTTCGATTGGACAACCGAACAATCATTTTCTAACCTCGTTGCGAGCTTGCAGGCTCCAGCCTACACGGACTATGGTTATGAAATAACCGTTATCGAGGACCGGCTGCTCGTGGGAGCCACGTATCACAGCCATACAAAATAGCTCGTACTCCAACCTGGTGAAGCGTCCTTGGAGATTCAGGGATATACCGCTTTGCCGCTAAAGATGTCTCAAATTAGCAATCCCGACCCGAGTTTTAGGGATTCGTGCATTGACCTCATCTACCACACTGCATTGGGAGTTACTACCAAGATACGTAGAATGCTTCGCCACTTCCAGTGCTTTTACTTTGATTATAACTATCGTATTCAGTGGCTACATGTCCAGGAGTTTGGTCCTGTACTTTGTAGGAGCATAGCGCGTCCTTTACCAGTTTCTTGTCCTCGAAGACGAGAACGATGTCGTCTCTGTATTCCAGATATGTAAGATTTTCGTCAGTAGCTATTTGAGCACCAGGGTTGAAGACCTTTCGCGTTCGTCTCATTATCTCGTCGATCACGAAACTAATTAGGAATGAAGAGATTGGGCATTCTTGTTGCGCTTTGTGTACGGATGATTTGGGAAGCTCTCTGTATAATTTCACACTCCCAGAAATCTGAAAATATAGAGAAATTATTACATTCACAAGCCTCCAGAGTGTTCCTTGTTTTGCAAGCATGATAGGGGAAAAGACCAGTCAAGAGAGTTAGCTCATCCTCTTTACGTGCATCTTGAATTCTTGTCTAGGATACGTAGCACGCGTCACTGTCAAGCGAATTCAGTATGAGAGGAGGACAGCTTGTTGTCCCACTTCGGTGTGCGAACACTGAAAGCGGCCAGATAGACCGGGCACAGATGCTGAGATTGATTTCGATATGCCTGGAGCTGTCGACACCGGCTGAGGCGCAGATGTTTTGGCCAATATCGATGTAAAACAAACGGGCTCGTCAGTCTTAAGGGGTAGGCCTGTAGCAAGAGCTTTATTAATGGGACGGGGAGAGGGGAAGAACAGTGTGTAAATTAGGAAGAGGGGAAGCGTAAGAAGTAACCGTTTACCCGCCCTGCTGTATGCAGCAAGTTAGCTGACCCGGCTGATTGCACCGCGCGACGACCGACGTGGCATCGGAGTACTGTTAACTGTACTTGGGCTGGAATACTGCCATACTATCCAGATCTAGACAAGATGACGGTTAGAATCCCCAACAATAGACTGGTTCAAAAGACCAACCGCAAGGCAGCGATGTTTGGCGAAATTACACTACACTATATTTTCAAAAGAATAAGTTGCCACTTGTTCCAACCTTCAACTCTAAATACTGGTCAACCTGGTATGACACTTTATGAATGTTTTAGGGACACCACCCCAGTGTTGGTCAGTGGGTCACGGAAGCACAAAACTGTCACTCTGAGCTTAGATCTGGTCGCTTCGCGTTGGCTACCACCCTTCTCCACTCTTAAGTTAGTCTTGCACGGTTGACTTCCAGTTTTGAGGATGGCAGTTATCGAGATTGACAATGAGCTACCCTGTGAGGAACGGGACCATAAACAAAGAGCCGGCGGCACCCCTAATCTTCCACTGAAACAGACGGGATTCCTCTTATTACTAGCACCTCTTTCTGAACCGTTGCCTTTGATTTTACTCCCACCATCACTTTCTGAGGCGCGATCTATCTCTAAGTACCATCTAACTGCTGAGCCGAATGAGATTTTGAAGTGTTTTTGATTCGATCTTGGGAAATTATTCGAGAATAAGAATGCATTCCAGAAAATTCGGAACAATCGTTGGTCGTACTTGTATTCAGAAAAGGCAACAGTACCGCCTGTTCCATCCACAGGGGTATAAAACTCAGGTCTGCCGTAACACGACTATTGCAACGCTTGTCTTCGACACACGATACGCAATTCGGAATGTGTTTTGCTCATTCGGAGTGCAAAACTTCAACATTTCCCATTCTCTTATACTTCTTTGAAACTTGTGAAGGAAGAGCATGAGTTTGTTTATCAGCTTAGCTGATTGTACCGTAACAAGTGAAACCAATGCGTGGTTAATCGAGGCACGAGCAGCGTTCACCAGCGCGCGTCGTTACTGGAGTCTGAAGCGAAATTCGCTGAGTCTAAAGGATTATTGTTGTTACAAGACGAGAAGGTCTTACGCTTTGGCCGCTAAAATTGGCCCATTCTACTTGAGAAACTCAAAAGTCTTCAAACTTTTCATCCTCGGTTTTTGCGCGGACACGTTTACTTCACTGGTACTCAAAGGTGTAAGTGCCTTGTTTTTGCCCGTTTTTTGCAGGAAGTCTCTCTCCTTCACCTCTTTACTATGACCTTGATTTCTCATGGTTGTAACAATTAGTCGTCGTTAGGTATTACTCTCCACTTTGTTTTTATTAGTAATGAAAATAATGCTATTTGTTCAGTCAACGATAAAATCGTCTCATCTCAAATTTTGTAATCTTTGACGGCAGATTTCAAAGTTCCAGTTGTGGCTGTTGTCGACCGAGGAGTAATCGACCGACACTGAAAATCCGTGAATCCCTCCTCAGTAGGAATCATAGCAATATGCTGTTCACAGGTTCCGAAGGAGATTCGAATCCGTAGCCTTCTTGATAGTTCTCGAACATTTTACCATTGTACCACACAATCCGCATTGATGAATGTCTTGTGATAAGGTACTAGTCCAGTGCATGACTTAGGTAAAAACTGTTCTTGTGATCTAATCATTCACAGGGCATAGAACCTTCACTGCGGCCAATCGTATGGAAGTACTTGCTTGGTTACTACCTGTGGAATAACACTGCAGAAGAGAATGAGAAACTTCGAAAGGAGAAACAGTAGGTCGTTTTTGCTGACTTTCTTACTCTTTCCAAATCAATGCGATTGGCTAATAAATGGACCGTTTTACCGTCTACACTCAGCTTACTCTGCTTTAACAAAACGTGAATATGAGTTTCCACCATGTTGGCGTAATGGATGCTCAACATAGCGAGAGGAAATCTTATGAAAACAAGCCTTCGAGCGTGAAATATATGCAACTTTGAATCCAGAATTTGAAGAAATAGTTCACCTCAGCCAATCTTAGAGATCGGCAACTGGCCAACTATCACATTTCGCATAAAAGCTTACCGGTCGCCATATTATCGCCACTCAACAGTTGGGGTCAGATGAACGAATAAAAATTCAAAAGGTTGTGTAAACAAAATGTTATGGGTCAACCTAATTGTGAGTGTCTGATAACTGTCCTAATAGTTCCGATGAATATTCAAGTTTCTAGATAGTCATGCCATGATAACTGAGTTGTCTCTTCCCTGTAAAGTTCAGGCGGAATTCGTTCGTTCTAAAAGAACATGGGTACTGCTCAACTGAAACAGAGAAATAACGAAATCACAGGGTATTTTATGCGCTGTATCCTGAAGCTAAATTCGTAGGTCGTTCGCCTGCACCTCGGAATCGCATTTAGTGGGCATGAAGTGAATAATTCTATTTCTGAACTTTAAGCCGCATGATGTCACGCGGTTCTTTATCCATTCTGTTGTAGGCAAATCCTATATGATCATACATTGTATAAACTAACATCTCAGACTTAAGACCGTAGACTTCCTCTATGGTTACTACAAATAAATTGTTGTTCAGTCGTGGGCTTATTTCAAGACCTTGAGAAAGGTTCTATTTTGGGTCCGTATTCGAGGGAGGATATTACTTTATATCCTTTCGTTCCTTGACATGCTGTTGAAATATTCCATAGCTCCCGTTCAGTTTTTGCCCGACTATGTTGCGCGTTGTATGTGAACACTTTCTTTTTTACTTCCTAGTGCTGAGTATCATACTGTCAAACGCTTTTGGAAGGAGATGTCCAATGAAAGACTTCTGCGATTCAGTGTCTTTCGAGACCGAAAGTGTTATATCGGTAGGTCTTGATGTGACTGACTGCTTACATTACTACGAATGGTACCAAACATGTGAAATGGTGTTGTCGGGGCAGCAACTAGTGGCCGCAACCTTTTGAAACTCTCAGTACATTACACTAATTCAGCATAGTGAGTTGTTCCAAAGTACTGGAATATCGGGTGACCGTGTAACTAGTTATCATGCTTCTACTCCGAAGTTAACATAAGCCGTGTTCAGTGGAATATGGTTTCACATTCCGACAACGTAGAACCAAGCAGGTTGCTCCAAGCTATGTTGGAAATTTTCGAAACACTATGCTGGCTTTCAGCTTTGTCGGGGGTTCACCACTGGTGTGCGTAATCCGGATGGTAAATGGAAACGAAAGCTTGCTGGTTCGCTATATTAATCGGCCATTGTATTATGTTACTATGTACAGTTCTTCCTTATGGACCTATTGATTCTTCACTCTACATTTGCGGTAGTGATTGGGACGCGATTTGGAAGTTAGGATAAGCTCTATTCTCCAGTCCAAAACACTCATCAATGGCACCTTTACAAATGGTAGTTGCCATGGCATCCGATGGAAACTAAGCGACTGAGCTGCTGATAGGCTGTCCTGTTCTGGACAAGAACAACTGAAGTATTCAGTGTGTCAGATGTCCGAACCTTATTATTAGAATCGCCAGCGCTGAAGGTCAGGTAAGAGGCCTACCAATGGCACTGGCAAACGAGCTTTCAATCCGTTAGACAAATGCAGTGAACCAGTTTGGCGTCCTAGTGCATACGTTCCTCCGTTGGGTTACGTATGTGCTGCTGATGTGATAGAACCCTCTCTCCATCCTTTCGTTTGCGTTCTTTTGTACACCTCTATGTCTCGCCAATCGACTTAAATTGGTACAAACTTAACTTCCGTTGACGCAGTACATTTCACAGCCCATGGAGTTGGGCGACGTGTGCACTGCGAGATCTATTAGTCTGTGGTTTCAGTGATTGGTTGTGTACATCATTGCCACTTCAAATCACGCACAATCTCCTTTTTACTGTATGGATTCAGTTTGTGTGGGTCAATAATAAACACCTCCAAAGGAGCCAAACCGTGATATTGAGTAGACTCAACTGGTTTACCAGTTTTAACATTCTTTTGTTTGTAATGCCTCTAAATAAGACCTCGGTTTTTCGGTCTCAAGTATCATTATTTATCTTTTTACCGATACTTTTAACGAAGAACACGTAGCATGTAAGGCTTTTAGCGTTCCGGGCACTTGGCCTATTTAATAAATCCCAAGAAGAGGGAAACCGGCACTGAATTATCCAGAATTTCCTTCGATCTCATGCATATTTGATTTGAGCACAACGTAATTGCACTTTTCTTGCTTTTGGTAACCCGTCATTTTCACTAGCATTGTAGTGTGCACTTGGAACGGCGTGCGTATGAGTTGGTCCGCTGAATGTGGTGTAGCAGTGTAGTAGTGTTTTTCGTTACTGCTGGTATTTTCCGTTGTTGTAGAATCTTGTTTCTCTTTGTGTGACTCATTTACAGACAAAGACGTCCCCAGAACTGATCGGAAGACAGCCTTTTACCGTGATGATTCGAGCGGCAATTTGACAAAACTGCACGACATTCTGGTCACATACAGTATTTATAATATGGACTTCGGTAAGCTCAATGAAGGGGACTTGAGAGATAGTTTATTCGACAAGAAGACCCCAGGATAATCACGAGAGAGGTTTTCATTTAATGGAAGCCCTAAGAGAATGCCCGACATGAAGGATTATGTTCTCTAGTAGGGTTCGCCTTGACCATTTTCTGAGATGTCACCGTCTTTTCGTTCTCAACACATCTTTTATGCTGCACTATGGAGTGCCGCCTGCTGTTCCGGTACACTGATTGTCATAATAATGGCGCAACTGTAATATAAAATCAACGCTGTCGTGTGGCTTGACAGTCCGGCAATCGATTGCTTCAGGTCAATTCACTTTCTGCGCTACCTAGTTGTAGACTCTTTGAAACAAATTTGTAATTGTGTAGGTGGTTGGGGTAGCTCCATGTACTCTCACACAGTCGTGGTTTGGGTCGAGAACTGAAGTTAGATGGAAGTATACTGCTTCGACCTTCCATATTGGATAGATTAAGTTTTAAAGTTGTTAAATAATGATAGCTCAATTGCCACAAACTTTGGATGCCGAGCTGCCATGCGGCGCGAAGGAAGTATGGGGGCTAAGATACTGACAGGTTGCCCAAGCCTAAACAGGAGCAGTCGATTGGTGGGGCTGGGTTCCAATCACGGACCAGTAAGCTCGCGCCTCAACTCCTGAGTCATCTCGAGACACGAAGTTGTCTGTCACTTAGCAGTGCTGTCATTATCATGGAAGGATTAACCTTTGGTGATTTTCTTTTTAAACGCACGGTCATTAGGTTGAGTTGATGTACGAATCTTCTGTTAATCGTGATGTTCAACTTCGTTGTATTTCTGCTTCTCTTTACGAGGAGAGGATTTATCACAGTCAATCAACCGCCATTTATGAGCTACCTTCCAACCCTCAGGTTAAAAACGGAGGAACTGTGGATGTTATTGTCTGGCCTGATTAAAATCAGCTTACAGAACGTGAGGGCCTGAAAAACGACTCGCTTCGCACTACTGGCGTTGCAGTAAAACCTTAACAGTTAATTGACCGCTTTCAATGAAGTGAAAGTGGTAGAGTGAGTGGTAGAGAGGTAGTATGGGACGGTTGATCTCAATCTGCGGACTACTGGCCGCTGGTTTAATGCAGTTCGAAGCTCATCAGCTCATCTGAGCCGATTAGTCTATTACTTGAACAGCAAAAGTTGGTCTACAAACTAATTGGCGTTCAGGTTAGGGTTACTTTTTCGGATTCCGGGATCACGTGTGAGAGACTCAAGCACCCATCAGTAAGTTGTCTGTGGATATAAGGTAAGCGTCTCGCATAAAAAAACAGGGTTCAAGTAGAACATAAGGTTGACGGAAACTCGGGGACTGTGCCTACTTGATGAGCCCCAAGAAGGGCGAAACCGTTCGTGGGCTGTCGAAGAGTTCTCAGCAACCTTTTTAGTAGTTTCCTTCATGAAAACCAGGACAACTTTTTTAAAAAATATTAGGAGAACCAGCTCAGGACATAACTGGACTACACAACTGCCAATAGAATAACCGTTTTCGTTGAGACAGATTTCATTGTTTGTTCTTCACTTGCCCTTGACGGATGAGTTCTATTTTTAGTTTCACTTTTTGGCCCGCCTAGAACTTTCCACGTGGGCTTAATAAAAAACCGTTTTCGCCCGCACACGACACGCCTGTACGTGTCAGTGTTCAATAGATCAGCTGATTTGCACGTTCATTGGCTTTCCGGTTTGGCTAAGCAAGCAGCTATTCAGACTCTGGTTCACGGTATTAAGAGGGTATTAAAAGAACAACGGGATCTCGAGTCTATTTGTGTGTTACATATTGCGCAAATGAATATCCGTTTGGTACTGAATTCGAAACACTCATATGAAATGCCATTGTAAATGCCAAAACTTCACATCATGGCGTACAAAACTTTGCTTGATTCGAGCTGAGTCTCCAGTTCTAAAGTGTACGTAAGCTTGTAATGCTGTAACTACTCGTCTGAGCTACTCATAGCGGTTGGATTTCATTTCCGGGAATTGCTTCAGTGGTTCCTATCTTAGACTACTTTCCTGGTCTGGCCGCTTGCAGGTTGCTTCAACGGTGAAACATTAGGTATTACCATAGGATACTGCTTTGATATTACCTGGATAGTTTCCCATGTTTTATGCTTCTTCGCAGGATATTTTCAAGGAATGAATGATCTCCTGGCGCTCATTCTTTATGTTATTCAACAAGAGGAGGATGCCTTCTGGTGTTTCGCTGGTTTGATGGAGCGACTGGTGAGTTAAATTGTCTGTGGTAGTGTTGTTAGTGGTGAGGAGTTCTGAGGCTTTCACTACTAGACAACACCCCTTTGGGTCTCGATGGTCATGGTTCGAGAACATCCGCTTTCCGTGGCTATCCACTTTTTTCACTGTATTACCATTTCGCAAACATGGAATGCTTACCTCAACGAACTGAGAACCTATGTGTCGATGTAGTATATGCAGAATAACTAATGGACTCCGGTTATATGGATAATACTAGTTTGTTGTTTGCCGCCTCTTTCCGATATTTTTTCGCACTTCCTGTTTTTGGGTCCCCTTGTACACCGTTGTATNTATATATATAAAGCGTGCACATAATTCGTGGTTGTACTTGAACGGATAAAATCAGTTCAGGCATCACATTACGGCACGCCCAGTAGTCACCACGGATGACCTCTTGAGTCGGGAACGTATTCCACTGACACTGAAGGTCGTATCGATAGAAGAGCTGAGTGAATTCTAACTTTCTGGTTGTGAAACTTGACCGCTCCGATCTGATACCTTTGTGGAACCACAGCAAAAAAAATCGTTCAGCTGTAGCACCTTTTCGGTGCCTAACTGCCATGTTACCCGAAGGTTGCACGAGAGCTGGGATACTGCCAGGTTGCCCAAGCCTAGACAGGGGAAGTCGAGAGGCAAAGGTCGGGTTCGAACCACGGACCTTCCGGTCAGTAAATTCGCGCTCTAACCACTTGGTCCATCGCGCCCCTTGTGGAACCACAGGCGTTGTTCGGCCACTGCGTTTCCACAACGAATTGATCCCTGGAAGTGTACTTAGTAATTAATCGGAATCGCTGTAACAGAAAGTGGTGGTTAACATTCTTCGCTTGGTAGACCATTGTATTCTAATGAAATTTGCTTTTTCCACTCCGAACCTCTGTTGATTAAAGGCCCACGGGGGAATAGGTAGTGAAATAAGTAACTCGTGACACGTTGAACACTCTTAGGCCCGTTTTGTTCTCATTGCTCGGGAATGTGAACCCCACACGACGACCAGTGTCAAGCGTGCTACCAGTTCTTAGCTGGGCTGCCTCACTAACTTTTGCTTTTGTGTCTTGGGTGTGTTCGGTGAGCTGCGCAGATTACTGAGTCAACCCTGTTGGTGGTATCTCACCACGATGCAATTATCAGGGTTGTTTCAATGGTACTCGATTGTATGAATACCTTTTAGTGTTTTCATCGCTCTCCATGTTAACTCGGGGATTCTTGCAGCGGGTGCCGAATCATTCTCTTTGAGCACAGTCTTCCTCCACGTTTGTATGGCGTTTGGGCACCAGTGTTCACCGCTGGTGTGTTTCTACACAGGGTGGCAAATCCACGAAAACCGCTTATTCGCGCGCGTTTGCTAAGTCTCAGAGTAAGGCTATAGTCAAAGGGTGTCGTTTAACTTTAATTACGACATCGCTATGCTGTTGATGTGGCCTGTCATTGTTCCTATTTTTCTACCTATCTAAAACGGAACCACCCTTCTGATGAGACTCACGCCCAACAAAATAGTATGCTCATTTCGTTTTTTCTCAAGCACAACTTACTCGGAGGATATTGAAAATGTGTGGGCAAATGAATAGATTGAATGTCATATACGTGTCAAATTTAAGCTTCTAAGCCTTCTAAGGAGTCGCTCAATCGAAGCATAGCTGGAAAATGACCACTACAAAATTACGTAGTCTCTCTGGTTTTCGAACTCTGAAAACACTTCTTTTCTGCATATCTGGTATCACACATACTCTGCGGATAATCACTCAGAAGTGAATAAGGTAACAATCATTTATCATTTCTGTCCTTCAAGACCCACTTTACTGTTTTCTATGTTGATGGATGGATGAGCTGAGCCATGATTCCGGAACAGATGGCCTATATGTCTCCTTTCTAATCTTCGAAGGTGTACAATCAGCCATCCTACGTTGTAACACTACAAGGGCCTGAATCTCTGCATCTTATCCATAATTCTTGTGACAGAACATTCCGTTCCCGATATGACAGATTTGCTTGAATAGTTTTGTCAAAGGTGAAAGGCAATCATGTGACTCCGTTGGTCTAGGGTGACTTCGGTAACCCAGCCATTCGAGTCACGCAGCATTAACTCGCACGATTATCAGGACCGTTTTTGTGGATGTTACCTGAATATACAGACAACTTATGCAGACTGATGTATCAGTTGAGTGTTTTGCCGTGAACAGTAGAGCTTCCATGTCCCACACTTGTTACTTCTCGGAAGCGTTTCAATTGGTCTGCGGCTTATGAGCATACGGAACTGGCCCATCTGAGCGGCTGACAGCATGATATTGTTTGATGTGTTCAGACCATTTGCAGCACGATGGTTTTATTTTGTTTTGCGCTACAGTGAGCGTTTAGGAAACGCAAGAGCGAGGACGACGGTCAATGAACCTAAGTTCACTTGGAAAAGATAGACACGTAAAACAATGGAATTTTCTTCCAATTTAATTCATAATTGACTTGTATGTACACAGATGTGATCCATACACATGGCCTACCTCGGCCCATCAGCTGCTACGCTGAGGTTGAAAATCACTATGGCCGTGTAACATTGTAGTTATTTTTTGTTTTTCCCTCTATGCTTCCTGGAATATTTGGGACGTTGAGATTTGACGAACTGTCTTGGGATGTATGTTTTACTCGGAAAACGCCGTGGTCCTGTGATTTTGCCACAGCATATTCTGTCACAATTGAGGACATATGTTTGGCCCGGGAATGTCATAGTGTCAGTGTTGTCCGTATAACTGTGACATTCATCCTTCGTTCTGTAATGTTTTAAAGCATTGCTAACAGCCTGATCAGCTCTTCAGGTCCACGTTTTCTCACAACAAGAGCCACGTAGTATCAAGAAGTTGTTTTGGCAATTGATACATATAAAACAGATTTCCTACACAAGCACAACATTCATGTTACCCCCAACCAATTCTTCCTTGCCGCTTAAAGTGTTGACATACTCCTTAACATGATTTGCTAATTCTCCATTGCGCGTTCAGGAATCCAACTTTGACGGTAACCTGAAAGCTGTTCGAGAGCAGTTCACCCAACTATTTGAACTCATTGAAGTGCTAGACCCGCAATTCAGTCTCTATCTAGGTAAGTCTACCCTTGTGTACACATCGGGCACGTGTGATCCATTTCGCAATTGATCCTTGTTTTTTAATAGGTTGGTCGTAGCCCAAGCCAAATGAATGGTTTGCGCTTGATAGCATCCCTAAATCAAGATGTTCTTGTGTTACGTCATAAATTGCACCTAAAAATAAGAGAAATTCCTCGGATTAAGGTTTCACTGGGACGATCGTCAGAGTAATGCGACCCGGAAAGTTATCGCCTATATGTTTATTTATGAACTCACCAGAGGTCATCGTCATCATCAGAAACAGCAACATCAGCTTCACTGCCCTACATTCACAAAGTTTGTCTAGTTATATTTCAAGCCTTGGGATGAGAAGAACAGAAAAGAGTGAGTGAGGGAAGGGACCTGGTGCTGTCGCGTCACAATTATTCTGAAGTGCCTAGACCTAAGGGCTCAGTCAGACATTCTGAAAAGAAACTGACATCACGAACGCCATTGACACCAATCAGGCGCCATTTCTTGCAATGTCTCCAGCCAAGCGCAGAAGGGCTCACGGGCATTCCATCCTGGAAGGCTTACAACACCAGCAACACACAAGCTGTTCGTGATATCTTTCAAACTCTTCTGCCATGTCATACGTTGTCCACCTTGCGGCTTGTACCACTCTGAAAAAAGCGTAGAGAACAACTCTCGTCTGGGGAGACGTTGTTTCTGCAGGCGTAGCACACTACCGAGCCACAGCAGTTGATGTTATTGGATGTTTTTCGCGATTGAAGTACCTGCTGCACAACCAAATACCCGTTTTATAACTACGAAGTTACTAATCCGTTAGCGTCATCCAAAATCAGGAAGTTTCTCAGGCATCGATGATAAAAAACCTGAAGACGCCCCACATCATTTGTCAGTAGGGGGCATATTTCGCAACCACGCAACAATACAGCCCTTACTGTAGTCTGGTACAGAGGGCCCTTAAGATCCAACACTATGCCGTTTTGACGCCACAAGTGGTCCACATTAGCAAACGTGACTCGTGCACCGACAGACGCAATTCTGTGATAGCTAATTCAACTACCGAGGTATTTAAAATTCTCCACAACAACCACTGATTCTCCCTGAATAGTAAGGAGAATGTTCACAGACTGCACGTCCTGAAGCACCTTGATTGTGCTAGGCGCATGCCGAAAGATGGTATGATGGTGGTCATTTTACCCATCAGAGCTCATATTACGCCTTGGTCTTCAAACATGAGAACGGTGTCATCTGCTTACTCTAGATAGACAGGCTTCTCACCAGCAACAGTTTGAACACCCGGGTTTCAAAGACCTTCCAGTATTCGCCTCGTTTCATCAATGACGAAGTCAAACAAGAATGGAGAGTAGTGGACATCCTTTTGCAGAGCTCACCAAAGACTGCCAGACGCCCAGAATTATGTGAATATAGGGATCGGATTATGTTCGAACTTCTGGGGCATACCCTGTTGAGCAAGTGTAGTTAATAGCACTGACCGATCGGCAGTCAAGGAATACCAAGGTTGTGGGTCGTCTGTACATGTGGCGTTGCTCTAACGCCTGACGGAGTGTGAAGATGTGGTCAACGCAGCTTCTACCTGATCGAAATCCCGCTTGATTCCCACGAGTGAAGGTTTCGGGTGCCACCACAAGACGACGAAGAATCAGTGACGCCAGAAACCTTGTCACACTGAGAGTCAAACTAGCACCTCTGTGATCACTAAATTCATTGCGTGTATCCATTTTTGAAAATGTGCACCATTATCGACTCACCCCTCACATATAGACACGCTGGTGCTCCTGGAGGAGCGGCAGGCTGTGATCATTCCTCACCGGTTATTGACGACGATGTGATCAATTTGAATTCAGGTCTGCTTCGTTGATGGACACCACGCCGTTTCCACCAGAGGATCGAAATGGAATGCATCTGTGGAGATTGAAAAGTTGAACTCGAGGCGACCAAATGGTAACCGGACGCCCGGTTATTCCTATGTTGAGTCCTGTCCACAGCGACTGCCACTGAAATTCATCAAAAACCGTCGCTCTAGCCGGGTCGCCGCCGCAGAGGGTGTCATTATCCAATACCTACTCGGAACCACGGGTTCGTGTTTTATTTTTTTTTTTGGGGGGGGGGGGACCGGCTTGCGTAGATATTTACTTCCAGAAGGATGCGAACACATTAATTGGGGATCATCACAAAACCGAGGGAAACAAATTTTTTGAAGCAACACAGTAAATATTTCTTATAGACGAATTTTGACGTCGATTTTAGAACATCACAAAGCGTCTATTGTAGTTCAGTGAAGAGACTAATTCCGACCAGTTTGGCATTGATTGGAATAGCTCTTTTGCCGTTTGGATTCTCAGCGTATAATTCAGGGACCTCATTTCTATTTGATACACAATTTCAGGACCTAATAATTAGTGCCCAAATGCGGTTGATCGCTTGCGATTCGTCAGTTCGCTTGGAGAACTTAATACTTGTTAAAGAAGTCGGTTTTTCCGCTCTACACTAAACACTTCAATACCTAGAACGTGGTCGTGTAAAGAATAATTTGAGTCGTGCAATATTTTACGTGTGGCTTTCTCTCGCGTGTGAAAGAAGATAGATTGTTCCGATGACAGCCGAGCTCAACGGTGAATAATACCACCCAAAGCACATGTATTTGTTACTGACTGACTGACCAAGTGTAGTTGAAGCATCAAGCGATATAGGCCGAGGGGATGGAAATGCGAATTACACCATCTGTTGTCACGTGAGTTTTATGGTTGTTGTTTCCCGAAAACCTTAATTCGTTCGGGCATGGGATTCATCGATTTCATTTGAAGGGCAGTTGGACGGTGTCGTGACGGCCGAAACTGGTTTTCCTTACGGTCGCTACTTGGAAAACGCAACGGTTAAGGAATGACATACATGTAGTTTTTACTAACTAAATCGCCTTTGAGGGGACCATGTACTTTTGTCATTGCCATCAATGAGTGGGCAACAGTTGACTTCAACTTTTCTCACTTCTACGTTGTTTACCTCGTTACAGTATTTTGATATCTTCCATTTGTGTACTCTTGGAAATCTCTGTTTTTCTTCCTTACAACCTGAAAGCTAAAGCTTACAAGGAATTCTGTTTATCGGTTAAAAGGAAAGACAAATTTCCTTTCAGTTTAAAGTTTGATTTGTCTCACAGGGCCAAAATTGTTGGATCCATTTGGTTCATCCGTCCACTCGTCCTGCTGGTTCTGCTCCACCCTATTCGCAGATGCATTTCTGAACTGGTCGTTCTTCTGGCGAACGCTTATTTCGCTGACCTCAAAATTGTATACTCAGATAATATCGAAGGCACTCATACAAGAATTGTTTCTCCTGAGGATGTGATCGAAATTGGAATGATCCCTCTGAGGTTGGGTCATTCTGGTAATGGGACCATTTTTGCTTCTATCTGGAAGTCTACTTTCTTCAAGGATAGATGGAACAATGTCCTTGGTTCAACCTTAGTCTGCTGGGTTTTCAAAACTACAAAAATGTGTAATCGGCGGGGAAGCTATAGTGTTCTGTCACGTGCTATCATCTCATCTGAGCATCATTCTTCTAGCTGTGGCGTCCTCTTCCGACGTAGTTTTAGCTAGTCCCAAGACTAGGTTACAGCCATCATTTGCCAACACACCTTGTTCACCCTACCAAGCACAGCATCCTGTGTAGACTTTGGTTACACTACGTTATCGAAATTCTACCTAGAGCTTCAAGTCCTTTGTGTAGTATCTCCACCAGAATTCGGTACACTATTCATTGAAACTCGTATGGGGCACGCTAAAGTGCTACGATTAGCAGTTATCACAAAGGTTATCAAAGTTATCAAAGAGGTAGTATTATGAGAGATGAAGGTGGCTTGATGTTGTTCATTGCAAGGTGTCGTGAAGTTTGTTGTTTATCCCATGATAGGAAAATCTTCCTCGGTTTGATTTTGACGCCATTATTCAGCTACCTTGGATAGGTTAAATATGTTCCGAACAGTTAATAAGCGTTGACTTGTGATCCATAGCTAAAGTCCTTCATAACTGTCATATAACCCTTTAAACACATGGAGTTTCCTGCGTTTTATATAATTGATCTGCTTTGCTAGTTTTCTCGGAGTAGGATGATTAACCCACCCCTCGGGGAACGAAATCGTGGACCACCCGAGCAAATAGCGTAGCCTCTCCAAAGATAGACAGTTCTGCAAGAACCTGGCAAAGAATACTGGCTGTTGGTTCTCTTGCGGATTGATCGCCTCGAGAGGGATGGAGGGAAATGTGTCAATCCGCAGTGAGAGATTTTCTTCGGTTGTTACTTTTATCATCCAAGTATAACTCACGAGCTTATCACCCTCTCAAAGTGCCCTGATGGGGTAGTTAGAATGTCTTCTACAATCTCGGGATCTCAAGTATTGCCACAGCAACTTTATGTCTAAAATGCGATTTCACTAATTTAGGAGCTTCCAAATTTCCAACCTGAACCAGTAGTAGTAAGTGAAGTGCTATGGAAGCCGGCTGTTCTTGACTTTCTCCATTTTCATTCACCTTGGAATCGTTTAATTGTCGGCCAAAATCATGGTATTTTTTATTTGGTAGGCGTGGAACTCCGAAAACCTTGCGTGGTGAGCATCTGGGAAACCTAACCAAGGTGCACACACAACTAAGAACAAAAAGCAGCAGGTTTCAAGATGGTACTATCTTTGTGTGTGCTATACGATTATGGGGAGTCTCTGTACTGTGTTTTTGATTAAGGCACCAGTATCTCTTCAAACCAACAGCATTTAGCCTCTTTTCTTCGCTCCATCACCTCTTATGAACCTTGAGTAGACTCCCTAACGTAAATTGTTTGAAACAATGTGCCACTGAAATTGTGTTTCAACACATCTACCTCAAAACACACAACGGTTCTGAATATGTAATCGTGAGGTCCCCGAGAACAAAGCATTTTATTTGTCCTACTAAAACTCAGTTGAGC